TCAATGGTAGCTTAAAGTAAACTGATTAATTATTACAATTCTCTAATATATAAGGTAATCACCGGTGCTCCCAGAGCATTTCTCCAAGAGATACCATTTAAAAGCTTAGACAAGGGACTCCGAATGAGGTGTCAGGGGTGCTGTAGAGGGTCTCTGTGGTCCTGTGAAACTGTGGGCCCTAGCACCCCCTAAAATGCATATGGATGAGCATTATGAGTATTCTGGCCTTGTACCTGCTGTACCAGACAAGATTCATGCCCATGTCAGAGGTGTGGAAAAGGGTCCTCTCCTGCTCCCTCTCACCAGGTATATACCATAAGGGTGTGTTCAGCAACACACCAAAGCAAACTAAATCCTTATCAACAACTGTTTGAAGAAGAAATCCAGAGTAGAAAAAAGAGGGAAGACAGGTTATAGGTGCCTACTGACATTGTGAAACAAAACAAGTTATTGAATAGGTAACTATAGGCCATTATAAAAGGGAGGCTTCTTTTTCCTTCTGAAGGAGTCAGGAAGTAACTGTTCACAAATACCATTAATACCATCATCTACTACAACAAATGAAGAAGTTCACTTGCGGGTGTCATTCTCAAGTTTGTTTTTTGGATTTTATAATTGTGTCTAGTCTAAGTCCTAAGGCTGACTGAAAAAAATAACAACTTGACTAAGGATTATTAGAAATACATTTATTTTCTTAGTCTGACTGCTGAAGAAAAACAAATAATCAAAATTCTTCAGACAGTTTATCTATGCCCTGAAGAGTTACAGTAAGCACTTGGATCCTAGATGCCAACAGGAAAGTAACCAGGGGAATTTTACAGAAAATGATCACTGCTATTGTCTCCAGTGCAAAGAAGTAGGAACAGCCTCAGTTCTTACGCTTAGCACTCTGTGCTACCTTCAGAGTTTGGTGGCTTCTGGCTCTGGAGACAGAACCACCTATCCCCTCACATTTCCATTCTACTGTGCCAGCTCACATGCAGTCTGAGAAGCAGAGTTTGTCCAAGAACAATGTTTATTACCTTTGTACATTTCCAAATGGACCAACAAGTTAATGAGAGGTGAGGAAATGTTCTCAGAGAAAATGCAAAGAACAGAGCAATTATGAACAGACACCATTATTCACTAAGGTGCAGGGCAAGTGGCTACCCTTGGCTCAGTGTAATAGTTTGGAAAGTTCCCTGTGCTAAGTCCAAAGCCAAGAGCTCTGTGTTTCCTTATGTGCAACCAACTTTTGAATATGCCATTTTCTCTCTAGTAAGGGGTCATTAATGAACAAAGCAAAAGAGGGTCTAAGTTTTGCACTGTACAAATTTAATGGAAGGAAAAAAAATTCTCAGAAAAAAAAAAAAGTCAGATGAGGCTGTAAGCTGAAGTCCTAACTACAATAACCAATGACCTGAATGTCTCAAAAAGAAATGTCTCATTTCTAGGACCACACACATGCTGAGAGTTAGAAGTGGTAGACCACAGACAAAAGTCTTTCGGGATAGGCAAACAGGCAGCAGGCACTGCTGCTGAATTACTAAAAGTGAGCCTGAGGCTGTGTGAAGGGCAGTGAGTTTCACTCCAAAACAACCAAGATGCTCTGGAGAGTGTACCGCTTTTTATCACAGCAGCTACCCAGACCTCTCTGCAGTCATGTGGACAATGCTTGATACTTCCGCAGCTATCCAGCCTTTTCATCATACAAACCACCTAACAGGACACAGGAAAGGGTGGCAGCTCCTTTGAGGAATGTGGTATCTACCTACACTTTCCTCCACCACTTTGTTGGATACCAAAGGCCAATATAAATATAGAAATAAGATGGGGTTTACTGGTGTGTTATGACAGAATGAAGCTTGGTGTTTTGTGGATGGACTGTTTTCATTAAGAAACACAGCTTACATGTGTCTATGGATCTACTTTCCTTTACAGGGCCCACATAGAAAAGCTAACTACCTAAATGACTGCCTTATCAAGATGTTAGTATCTGTAATTTTAGCTATGCTCAGACTAAAGAAAAACATCTAGTGTATTTGTGCCGAACATCTTCCATATTTACTCCAGAGTGCAAATATTCTGCCACTCTACTAATGGAATAACAAAAATATTTCTAAAAACAATATGAGGGAAGATATTTGAATAATTACCTAAATGTGAAGCCATCTGCTCACAGAGCTGAATTACTAATTACTAATCACCAACTGAACTACCTATAATTTTTTCAACAGAAAAGAATGCAGCATCACTGAAAAAGTGAATACTTAGGAATAACAACAAAGCACACAAGCAGGGACATGTGAATGCGATGTCTTTTTGTGGTTACACAATACTTTGTAAGTGGATTTGAGACCAACACCTCCATTTGGATATGATTTAAACACAAGACTACAAAGAGCTAAAAATATAAACAGCATACATGAAAAAATCAAAGAAATCAAGTTAGGGTCTACCATCTATCTTTATTACACATACACACACACACACATTTCTTTTTGTTTAACATTTTAATTGGACAAAATGGTACATATTTATAATATATATGTATAATGGTGTTTTGAAAGATGCAAACTCTATGGGTAACTAAATGAAGCTGGGCATCACACCTTCTCTGTAGCAAGGATGCTTAGATTCTCTCAGGAATGCCATACATCATTATATCCTGTACACCACTGCAACTCACTTCTTGTGACTCAGGCTTTTATACCTTGACCAATAACTCCCTAAAGTCCTACATTTCTAATACTGTATACACACACAAAGATCCCTTTCACTACTTGGAATGTGTATGTAAGTTAGACTACATGCCTGAATATCTCAAACTTCCCACAGTCATCCCTTAGAAAAGGAGCTAGCTCCTGTTTGAACCTTTAGATGGTACCTCATTGTGAGATTGTCTTCCATGACTTAACACTGAATAGAAATTACTCTTGGGGAAAATACAATGGCTGTAAAGCCCATTTCATTCAAAATTAATTTTATGTTTATGGAATCACTACTGTGATAATCAAAGAAAAATATCAAAACATTACTTATTTCTAAGCTTGCATCATGATTGCAAAAAAGTGTTTTGAAACTATTTTTAAAAATAGACAAACATCTTCTCTCAGAAAGGACTCTAGTCAAAGTTGTTGATTCTGGGAAACAACCAGGCAGTCAAAGGGTAGACTGGAGGCCAACATAACTCTTCTTGTGTTCTCAGATCAGCTAAACAATGTGCATTTGGCTTGAAAATGGAACACAAAATGGGTTTATTCTAAAACAGAAATTAACATCGGCACAAGCTTACAAATGATGACAATATCAAACATGAATGATTATGTCACAAAGATCACGGATATGAGACAACTGGAGAAAGCCAGTCCTACTATTTCATGAGTGGTGCCTAGGATTTAGCATAGAATTTCAGTGCTGGATCACACATGGGTTTTAAAAGCTGTTGGAACTCAGAGTGACAGAAATGAAGATGTGTCCTGGAATTTACAGCTCAACACATAAATGTGGGTTGGTAAACACTAATCACATAGAGTCACACAGAATTTGGGCAGAATGGTTTAGTAAGTATGAGAGTAGAGAGAGCAAGACAAATGACTGCATAATTTCATGAAATACAGCTGTAAATTAATCAAGTTACCCTCTTACCTATCTCCCTAATGACACACACAGGAAGGGAGCATATTTCAGGGATAGAGGGTTTACCCAGCATGACCAAGGTCTGGGTTCCAAAATAACAAACTCCGAGTGTTTAAGGGGAGCCTGTTGTTTTTGTGCATCTTACACTCAGGCATCTACATGAATGTCTGTGAGAGAACATGTTTATTTACATGAACTATATAACTATAGTGTCCCTGCTTCCTGTGCATTCCCTCCTCTGCTACACAGGGCCAATTTGTGACCTGATTTTATACCAAATATAACTCAAATCCCTGGGACAAGAAACTGGTCTAGGGATACCATGCAATCTGATTGCCCTTTCTGAGTAAATATATTTGTTTCAGTGACTGTCCACAGTAAAGCCAGGTTGTTGGTGACAGAATGTCTAAAAAATGTCACTCAGGGCTCTTTTCGAACCAAGTCTGTGTGTTGCTTAGATGATCGAGAACAGAACCTAAGAGTAAGATTTAGGACACAAAACTACATGACTCTTACAAGAAGGCGCAGCAACTTCACGCCAAAGCCTGTGGTGAAAGATTCAGCATTACTCATGGTCCTTAGCAAGGAGAAGCCAGTGGGCCTGACTGGGACACAGTCAGGCCCTAGAATTCTACCAGGGCAATGGGAAACATTCTGCAGGAAAATAATTTGATTTATTCTTATTTTTAAAACTGTAATTTTAAAAATGTTCTTGTAAATGTAAACTCAGGAGAACTCTGACAGCAGGGTAAACCCATTTGAAGTTCTGGGTTCTGCCTTGGCATGATCAGCATGTTCTTTGAACATCACACTGTATTTATATTTGAAGTATATTGCAGTGTATTAGAACTAAGTGTATCTAATCTATATTTATTAGTATTGTTTTCCGGGGACTCTGGGATGCCTTCTGTCATCAATGAGAATTTGCCACAGTGTTAAGAACTGGGTAGGAAATATTCACTCTGTATATAAGAACGAACTGGCTCCAAATAGAACCTAGTTCATCTTGTGCCCATTAGTATAAAATCACTCAAGTAGTTCTTGTTTTCACTTTACCACCTCGGAAATTAAGTTCTAATACACTGGAGATGGCAAAAGGGAGGTCATTGCCATTACCTACTTCTTTGGCATCAGCACCTTCACAATACTACCTTTCCAGGAAAAGGTCTTCCCAGTGCAGATAATTACTGGAGACACAAGCAAAGAAGTCGATGGGAAGTGAAATACTGCCCCTTCTCAGCAACTATCTTGTACCTCTGGGAAAGTGTCCCCTATGGGAACTGCCATTAAAATGATAAAGTATCCCTCATAAATGGGAATTAGCTAGACTCACAGAGGGTGACCCCATAGATTAAAGCCCCACATGCAGCTCAAATACTCACCGTTCTTCCGTTCATTCAGAGGGGGTAAGTGCTGACTGGACTGTAGAGAGAGCTCCTGGAATTCATGAGCCACAGCCTCACTTTGAGGACTTGGTGCAAGGTGGGCTAGAGGACCTAGTTCTTCCTCTGTGTCTATGACACCTGTGTGATCCATCATGTTCCAGCCACTGGAAACAGGGAGTATGAGACACCTCTTAGACGTGGCCTGTTGAAGAGACTGACAAAATGTTTTAAAAATGTAAATTAAATGGTTTAAGTTCTTTCCTAGGTCCCACTACAGCTCAGTTCTACTGCTGTGCTATCTATTACCAACTTGCCCTTTCTGTATCGCAGGTTCCTTGTCCACCTCACAGGAATATGGTTCCTATCTAAAAAGTATTTCTATAGTAAATAAAAGCTAAATGACATTTCAATATATTTTTGTATGAAGAATTAAAGAAAATTCTAGCTATTGATGTCATTTAAAGATTTCAACACATGCTAAAATAAGAAGTCAACAAATACTAATTAAAATTAAAAAATGGGCTGGCTTGAAAGTGAATCTCAATGTCTTTATTCTGAGTGACTGAATTAGTCAACAGTCACAGACTCTTTCATCAGCATGGGTCTCAGAATGAGCAAAACCAGAACAAAGAAAACATAGTTCATAAGGGAAACAAATTTTATTTTAGGTCATAGAGGTTTTGTTTGTTATCACAGCATAAGTTGGACTTATGAGAAGATATGAGAAGCTGGTAACAACAAAATAAAAAATATGAGAACCTCAAGCATATGATACTAGTTAAGTCCTAAATCAGAAGCCAGGAAATGGCAGTCCATCCATGTTATGCAGTGGCAACTTGCCTGCTGAAACTGTGGCCCACTTACTGTCAGCTGCCTAGTGTCTGGGTGGTTTGCAGTTTTGACTATTATAACACAGAAATTCTCCTATACACAAACCTGGATACATGCTTCCACTTCTTTCCTACACACCAGAAATGGGATGATCAGATTACAAGATAGCAGTATATGTAGATTTTTAAGAAACTAGAAAAACGTTTTCCACCCCTAGTGGTGGGGCACCAGGTCCCAGCTGGTCCATTATTCTTGACAATCCTTTTGTAGATTCTTTTCATTTCAGAGGGCATGAGGTTTTTCAAGGTAGTTTTTAAAAAAAATATTTATTTTTTTTTTATGTGCATTTGGAGATTTACCTGAATGTATGTCTGTGTGAGGGTGTCAGGTTCCTTGGAATTGTAGTTACAGACAGTTGTGAACTGCCATGTAGGTACTGGGAATTGAATCCAGGTCCTATGGAAAAAGCAGCCATTGCTCTTAACCCCTGAGCCATCTCTCTAGCCCTTTTTTAAACTGTTTCCCTAGTGACTAATGACGTTGGGCATCTTTTTATGTATTTATCTCCTATCCCTTTATATTTTTGGATTTAAGTATCTGAGGAAATATGCTAATTTTAATAGTATGCAGTTGGTTTTTTACAATTGAATTTTGGATCTTTTGTATATTCTGGATACCAGCACTTTGTCAGTATGCTTTTGGCAATCACTCTTTTCCAGTCAGTGCATCCCACTTTTGTGTTCATTGGTGTTTTATAAAAATTAGGTATTTTTGATTTGGTAAGGTACAATTTACAAATACTTTATATGTCATACTTTTGTTGCTGTAGCTAATAGACTAATCTATTCTTAGACTAGTCCAAGGTCATAGAACTTAACTCTTATGTTTCCTTCTTGATGTAGAAAGATATATATTTGAGTGCAAGATGCAAAGTTTTACATAAGCAGTGAGATATGAATCAATACTGATGGCTGCTACAGCATCATTTGTAGAAAAGATCACCTTTAGTAGACTAAACTATCTTTGCATCTCTGTTGAAAGTCATTTGACCTGTATAGTGTGGAAGTATTCCTTGTCTTTCAATTCAGTTCTTCAAAAAGGGTAAACTATACCCCAGATTTTTGGGAGATTCCCTAAGCATTACATGTGCAGGAAAAACTCTACAGAACATAGCTATGGCCATATACTGAGATGCACCAGGCTGCCCAACATATGGAAAAAAGAGCTACACAAACAAGTGAGGCAAGCTTATATTTCCCCCCTAAAACAGTCTTAAGAAGAAACTACCAAAATCTACAGTCTCTGCAGCTTCCAACTAGAACTCTACAGTCACTGAAAATACCCTGTAATAATGATGGCAACTCATCACCAAAGATGAACACTACTAGAGATGCTTAAAGAGCTCATGTGAGACAAGAAGGTGCAGCAGATAGAGACTTCTCAGGAGCGAAGGTACCAAAGTGCTGAGTATGCAAGTAAAGAACTAAGACTAGTTTTTATTCTTAATTTCTTCAATATTAAGTACAATGTGAAAGTTGCAACATCATGGCATGAGGTCTGCAGGTGAAACTCATGAGCATGAAGGATGAAAGGGGCAAATGCAATCAACCTTAGTACATTTCCACAGACTGTAAGAAAAATCTTTAAAAAACACTCACTGAGAAGTTAAAGCAGAATTCCTAAAATAATTGTAGACAATACAAGTAATCTTAGCTAAAATACTGATAGGGTAATTTAAATGATACTCTAAAAATGCCCAGTTAACTCCTAACAGAAAGGGACAATAGTGAGGAGGAAAATGAGACAAACAAAAACAACGAATAAAATAGTAGGCCTTAACACAATATTCTAATAATTATATTACGTTTTAAGGGGCTAAACACGCAAAAGAGAAGTTGACAGAGTTTGTTTTCTTCAGTCCAAAATATATGTTCACAACTAACACACTTAAAAAAGAAAAAGATATGGTTCTGGGAGAGGTAAATGAACACGAAGAGGAAGCCAAGAAAATGGTGAAGACTATACGTTGCTATCAAATAATGTTACTTCAAAAGGTTCTATTAGGTAGGTAAATTTGCAGGTAAAATTACTTATTCCACTAAGAAACATTAAAATACAACTCAAAGATTTTTCAACATTGAATTTTCATTTTGAATTATTTATTCCTCCAAAATAAAATCTGTTCATACCAAAATATTTCAAAGACACAGAACCATGATATCCTTAATGTACAAACCCTGAATATCAGTAGTACTGACAGAGAGGGTCCTTTAGACAGATTTTAAAATATTCAAGGCAGTATTATGTGTTTTTAATACTGAAAGATCTCTTTTTTTCAACTCATGCCTTGACATTGTACTCACCTTAAACTCCCACACACTTCCAAATTGAGAAAATTATAAGCTAAGTAAATCTTTACAAAATGTAGGAAAGAAAAAAAGAATAAGTTTTCAAAAATTTAACGAACATTTTTAACAGAGCATGGAATATCCTCTGAAATTTTTAGGCACAACTCTACTTAGGCACTTGACAATTTCTTTTGAAAATGAAATTCAACATCTATTATAAACAGCACTGTCTAGAAGTCTTTAGGTGAGATCTAACGTTAGCCATCATGAGATGGTAAAGAAAGAATATTAGAATAAATTGTCCCACTGGGTCAAAATCGGAAGTGGACAAAGAATGACAAAACTGATTTGTCTGGAACTGACAATGTGGTGAATGACTAAGGAGTTTATTCCTTACAAAACCTAGTAACAGAAACATTCCAAAACAGAACATTCAGCACTCGTCTGGCAGGAAGTAAACACACAGGAGAATACTGTAACATCAACCCAGGACTCAATTTTGTTCTTAAGACAAACCAGACATCATTCTTCAGGGTCTAGATGGTTAACAGTAGTCTTCAGCCCTCATCAAGGAAACATTTCTTTGCAACAGCCAGAGACCACTGCAGAAAACTACAACTAATGAAAATATATAGCTGTGGAGCCTAGTTCCAACTGATATCATGACACAACTCCTGCACCTCAGGCTCAGGGAAAACTGCAGGAGAGGAGACTGAGCCTCAAAAGCCAAATGATCAGAGTTTGCTATGAGATTGTGATTCCTTAAAACAGAAGCTCCACCCATAAAGTCTCACCAATATGGCTGCCTAAACATGAGCTCAACAAGGATGACACCAACAGACCCACTAATGTGGGCTGGGAAAAGTTAATAAGTCTTAATCATAGACAAAGACTTTGAGGAGACTGAGGAATACAGAGAATGGGATAAATCATCTTTCTCAGGGAAGACACACCAACTGGTTACTCAACACCAAATGGTGAGGCCAGAAAATATATACATAAGTAACATGATACAGTCTAAACAGGTTGCATTTATGTATCTAAGAATATAAAAACATATGTAACAACACTTAAAACGAGGGTTTGGAGGGAGGAAAGGAAAGAGAACTGTAATTAAAAAGTAAAAATTATCAATAATAAATCACTTTATCATTTAATACTGCTGTGGTGATATAATGATTTTGTATTTTTAAACACTAGGTTATTGGGCTAAGGTAGTCTTTAAATCAATGTTAACATTTATTTCCAACTGAATGTAAATTCAAAGCCAAGTTGCTTTCTTTCCAATGATACCTCCTTGCTTATAATGACCAATTTCAGGGACATATAATAACTAACACACAGTCACTGCTACATATGGGAAATGCTAAATAAGGCACTCAAGCCATGTCTGTGTGGAGCTTCAAAAGTTCAATACACAAATAATCAAATGCAGATATCTGGATAAGTGGATTACCTACTACACGCACCAAAAAAAGGCCTTAGATGTAACAAAACTGTCTCTGCTTTTCATGTTCTCCTAAACCACAGACATTAAGACAAAAATGAATGTCCAAATAAAAAAGATAAAACAGCAAAAGATGTTTACAGACAAAGTTACCCACACACAATCAAAAATCATGATCAAATCTGTTTATATTTTATGAATAAATGTTACTTCACAGTTGTGTAAATGGATCAAAATAATCACAGAAAAGAATATCTTGGTTAAAAGGCTCTGATGCCTAGTAGGAGTGCTTCTTTCTCTTCACTGGAACAGCCAGCCTGAGGAAAAACAGAGGAAAAGGATCCAGACTCCTTTCACAGAGAATAAAACATCTGTGCAATGAGGGTAAAACAGACAGAGAACAATTACTGTAGCATGTGTGAAGAGAAGATAGCCTGGAGATCAAAGTGCTCTGGAACCTTAACAGAACCCAGTATGTCCATGGCATATCAGGGCAGTCCATGAGGGTGAGCTAGCATTTACCCTGCAGAGTTTTCTTCCTTGTGAAGAAAACAAAGGCAGAGATCCTAACAACAGAAGGTAGAAGGG